GGGAAGGGGGGCCCACCCAAGCCCAGGGCCCCTTTGCTGCCATTGGCGCCTGCCCCCAAGTGTGGGGGTGTTTCTGGAGCGAGGCTCCTGCGCAGTGACTGCCTTGGCGCATGCGTGCTAATGCGCCAGGCGGCCCCATGGCAGCGTGGTTACTGATCGCTCCTCCTTGCACGGCTGCGCCAGACTCCCCCAGCCTCCCGGGCCTGCAGCCCTGCCGTCTGGCTGCCTAGGAGGGGAGGAAAGGGCCTTGCTCCCTCCCTGCTTGCCAGCCCACCACACAGGGCACCTGATTCCTCCCCTGCCCCAGGTCGTGTGGTGCCGGAGCCTGCTGGCGGCTGGCTGTCCCTCACACTGCCCGTTCAGTCATGTCTGTCCTGCTCCTCTTCCTTCCTTCGCAGAGTAAGTTCTTCAAAGCCTTGCCCCGGGCCAGCACGGCCCAGGGAGCAGCGCTGAATGGGGTGCGCTTTTACTCCGGCCTGCAGGCAGAGGATGGGCACTGGGCCGGTGACTACGGGGGCCCCCTCTTCCTGCTGCCAGGTAAGGTTAGTGCAGTGGGCAGGCCAGGGGCTCCTCGCGGCACCGCTCCACAGAGGGGAGGGGAGAGCGGTGCCAGGCTGCTCTGGCCGGGACCCAAGGTGCTTGCTCCTTGCTTGGCTGTCTGAGGAGGATTCCGGTCCTGGCGCTGTTGCAGGCCTGGGCAAGGCAGCGTCCTGTTCCCAGCGCACCGAGCTCTGTGTTGGGTTTCTGCACTCAGAGCTGGGAAACTCCTGGCTGCCTGGCACTGCCGCCAATCCCCAGCGACTGCGCCCAGGTCAGCCCCGACCAGCTTGCCGGATGGGCATGGGGCGCGTCTCTGGAGGCAGCTGTGACCCCGTTGCCCCGTGGGTGCTAGAGGAGGGCCTGTGGCTGTTACGTTCCGATCTGTGTCCTCTCTGGAGGGCCCCGACGACTCCTCTAGGGTCTGGCAGAGGCTGACCGTGGGGTGGGTTGGCCTTGGGCTGCAGCTGCCCCGTTACCTAGCCGTGCCGTGCCTGGCACCTCGTGGCTGATTTCTCAAGTCCTGCGCGGGCCATGGAGAGCGCACGTGCTGCTCTGAGCCAGCTCGGGTCTCCCTGCGGCTGAACGCGGGGCAGGTTTGGCCGACAGGGCAGGCTGTTCTGTCCAACAGGTCTCCTGATCACCTGCCACGTTGCCAAGATCCCCCTGCCGGAAGCGTCCCGGAAGGAGATGGTGCGTTACCTGCGCTCGGTGCAGCTCCCGGATGGCGGCTGGGGCTTGTGAGTAGCATGGAAGCTCCGTTCTCCTTGTTCCTGCGATGCTGGGCGGGTCATGGGCTCCCCAGTGGGCGGGTCCCGCGTGGCCTTGCCAGAGAACACGGAATGGAAAGCTCAGAAGCCCCTTGCTGGCGAGACGCCTGCCTTGCACGTTGTTCGTTGCTCTCAGGCGTGATTGCTAGGCACCTGGTCTTGCTCCACCCGCTCTGTGCTGCCCTTACCGGCCCGGGGCTCCCCCAGGCCCACGCGGGCCCCTGCAGCGAGCGGGAAGGGATACACGCTGGGTCCTTATCAACTCAGACGCTGGGCGCTCCTGAAACTGCCCCCCAGAGCTTGAACAGCTGCTCCTGTGCATGGGGTGATGCTGAGGGGAGGCTGCTGGTGCTGCATGGAGGCCAGCGCCCTCCTCCACCATGGGAGCGGCCCGTGGCGTTTCCTTCCCTCTTCCCGGCTGCCTGGCCCAGGGTTGCTGCTTTGTGGTCAGTGAGCCCTGCCCCCGGCTAGGTTTGCCTCAGCCAAACCGGCCTGGGCGGCTTGCCCCGGCGTTGCCCGTGGGCAGGCACGTGGAAGACAAATCGACCGTGTTCGGCACTGCGCTCAGCTACACCTCCCTGAGGATCCTGGGGGTTGGGCCAGATGACCCGGACCTCGTGCGGGCTCGCATCAACCTCCACAGCAAAGGTCAGTGCGTGGCTGGAGCTCTCCGGCCTCCCCCTCCGCCCCCACAGCCGTGGGACTGGCCCTGTTGCGCGGGGCGAGGGGCACGCAGCCAGCAGGGCGAGTCTTCGCAGTGGCCTGTCCTCAGGCAGGGGAGGGGCAGGGGCAGGGTTAGTACGTGTGCAGTTTGTGCGTTAGTGTCTGCCCGGGGGGCCCGGCTGGCCCAGCCCCTTGCTGGCGCCCTGCGGGGCCCACCCCGGGCCGCTTTCTGTCCGGAGCCAGAGGAAACCTCTGCTCCGTGGCTGGCTGGCGGCGTCGGACCTTGGCCGCCGGCGCGAGCTGGGGCTTAAATTGCCGCCCCCAGCGCAGCTTCGCTTCCCTCCACGGCTCCGGGACGTGTGGCTCCGTGGCCTTGCCAGCGGCACCTTGTGTGGAAAAGGTGCCTCTCCCGGGCAGTCTCAGCGCAGCGCCCCGGAGCATGGGTGGAGGGATCCCTGCAGGCGTCTCGGAGATGTGCTGTGCTTTCTGGGGAATGTGGGGGTGCTGCTGCCCTTCCCCCACTTCCTGCCAGGCCCCCCCAGCCTCTGCCCGTGGCCGCTGTCAGAGCCCAGGTCTGTCTGGCTCCCCAGGTGGTGCGGTGGGAATCCCGTCCTGGGGCAAGTTCTGGCTGGCCATCTTGAACGTGTACAGCTGGGAGGGGATGAACACGCTGCTCCCTGAGATGTGGGAGGGGTGTGGGGGTGCTGCTGCCCTTCCCCCACTTCCTGCCAGGCCCCCCCAGCCTCTGCCCGTGGCCGCTGTCAGAGCCCAGGTCTGTCTGGCTCCCCAGGTGGTGCGGTGGGAATCCCGTCCTGGGGCAAGTTCTGGCTGGCCATCTTGAACGTGTACAGCTGGGAGGGGATGAACACGCTGCTCCCTGAGATGTGGGAGGGGCTGGGCTTTACCTGCGGGGGTCTTGATTTTCAGTCCAATCACAGAGCCCCACGCTGGACGCCAGGGCCCCTGAGAGCAATCCCGGCTTGCACCAGGCCCTGGTGCAATCCCCTGTGGTAGGTGCTGTTCTTTACCTGCGGGGGTCTTGATTTTCAGTCCAATCACAGAGCCCCACGCTGGACGCCAGGGCCCCTGAGAGCAATCCCGGCTTGCACCAGGCCCTGGTGCAATCCCCTGACCTGCAGGCTTGGGGTGCAGAAACAGGCACCCGGACCGGGAGCAGAAGGGATAAGCCGGGCCACGAGTGTGCCCACATGCTCCACCTCCAGCTTCCCAGCCCACCCGCTGCCCTCGCCACGTCCCTCCTGCTGGGCCCGGAGCAGGGTGTGCAGCCGGCTGGCTGCTGACCGGTTACTAGGGAGAGCTCAGTGGGTTGAGCACTGGCCTGCTAAGCCCAGGCTTGTGAGTTCAGTCCCTGAGGGGCCGTTTAGGGCTCTGGGGCAGATCTGTCAGGGATGGTGTTTGGCCCTGCAGTGAGGCAGGGGACTGGACTCGGCCTCTCAGGGTCCCTTCCAGCTCTACGAGACAGGCATCTCCATTTCATTTCATTTCACTTCCCCTGCGCCTGCCTCCGGGCCCGGCTAACGCGCCCCAGGGAATCCAGTGCAGTCTGGTGGCGCCGCCCGCACAGTAACAGCCTTGCCGGGAGAGGCCAGGTGCTGGTGCTTTTCTCCGGCTGCAGACAACGGTCGCTGGGCTCCGGCTGCTCCCCCGCGGCCTGGAGCACGGAGCAGCGATCGCCTGGCCCACAGGGAAGCAGCCACCATTCTGGGCTCTGCGTGTTTCCTGGGCACGTCCCGCCGACCGCTCCAAAGCCTGTCCGCATCCCCTCCCCGTCCCACACGCTGCTCACAGCACCCTCCCTTGCCTGGCAGGCTGCTCCCGGCCTGGATGCCGGCCACTGCCGCCAGGTGTACCTGCCCATGAGCTACTGCTACGCCACGCGCCTGGCGGCCGAGGAGGACGAGCTTGTGCAGAGCCTCAGGCAGGCAAGTGAATTCCCAGCCTGCTCCCGCCCTGTGCGACACCGGCCCGGGTACCCTTCCCCGTGGCCCGGCTGGGGCCTGGCCCTGAATCTCCAGGTCCTGCTGCCCACGGTGGTGCTTTGCTGGCCATCCCTGGGGGCTCCTTGCGACATTGCCCGTCCCACTGCTGCTTCTGGGGCTAGCCTGCTGCCTCGGCTTCGCTAGAGCACGCGCGGCAGCGGCCGCTCCGGGGGGGGGGCGGCGGCGCCGGGAAAGGGGAGGACTGGGAGGGCGGGGCAGGACGGAAAGCAAAGGGCAGAGGCGCCTGGGGCCCTGCAAGGAGTAGGCGTCCCCTGTTCTGGGCCTCAGGCTGCATGGGTCCCCCAGGAGCGCTGGTGCTATCTAAAGGCTCTTTCTTACCAGCACCCTCCCCTGGTGAGGTCTCCCTAGTGAAGGGGGCTGGGAGCAGCTCCCCATGGGGCCGGCAGCGCTGCCTCCTGCCCCGGCCGTGCCCTGTGCACCTCGTGGGGACCACGGAGCCCTGCTCCCCCGGCTGCTGCCACACGGGCACTTGCGGCTCCGCTCCCCCCCCGGG